TAATGTAATGGAAAGTCTTTTTATGTATATATTAATTCCTCATAGTTTTATCTAACTATAAATCTTCCTTTTCCTCGTACTTTATAGAAAACTTATAAAAATTATTATTATACTTTCAATTTGAAAAAAGTAATTGTCATATTTAACGAGTTCCTCATTATATTTATAAGCATATCATTTTGACAAGAAGACTCCTCAAACAAAGAAAGGTAAATTGTTGATATTATTACCTTGAGTTAGCAAGTGAGTGGTGAAGGAGAGACAACAAAAGAAAAGATGAAAATAACAGGTTAATCTTACCCCTATTTACACAAGTAGGTATCCCAACCATCGCAAAATTTCAACTATTCAATCTCCTTGGATTCATAACGATTCAACGTTTCATATTCTCTGACACACACAAAATTTGAAACATCCCAATTATTCCCCTCAACGGTCATAATCTAACACAGGTTGTGAATGTGGAAGATAACTAAAATGGAAACATTGAACAGTCGAAACATATATAAACCCCTTTGCAACTCTTCAATAATACTCTAACTTAGGGGGCTTGTGTATAGTATTTCTCATTCAATCAACAAGTTGGTTGGATGGTCAACCTTTCATTCAATGAAGTAAGTGGTTTCTGCTATAATTAACTGACCTGCCAAGGAAATATTTCTATAAGAAAAATCGAACGAACAAGGAGAAACAATTTAAGGCAAAAGTCCATTTTGATTAAATACTTAAGGGTGTTACTCCATCCACCACCACCACTTCTCCCTCCACCTCCCCAACCTTCTCTAAAAAAATTTAATTACAAAAATAACCTTTTTTAATTAAAAAAAAACCTTTATTTTATTTTTAATCATATTTATTTACTTTGAATTCAAACCCTATTTTTTTAACCACTTACTTTTCACTCAGCCCCACCACCAACTCTCCTTCTCTTTCTTTTAGATTCCCACCCCCCAACTCCACCACATCCGTCTTCTCAAAAATAATACATCAAAACATATAAATTACATTATTAAAATATCTTTAAAATTAATATAAAAAATAAACTAATAAAAATAATTGGAAAATAAACGTATAATCTTTAAACGGATGAGACCATCCGTCAACGGATGTCAACATCCATTTAAAGATTATACGATTACTTTTTAGGATTTATTACGTACCTCCTTCACGACGAATCTTCCACACCACCGCACCCCACACCACCGCACCCCACACTACCGCACCCCACACCACCGCACCCCACCATACCGATCTTGCACGTTGATCAATTGTTTCCACCACCACTTACAATCTCGCACACTAACTAATGAAAGTCCACCATACTCTCAGATCACAATTATAATGAGAAGAAGAAGTGTGAAAATGAAGAAGAAGAACATGAAACAAAAAGAGGAGGAAGAAGAGTTCCCACTGCTTGGAGGATTAGAGTGGGTAGAGGTTAAAAAGGATTAGAGTGATTAAAGGTTAAAAGATATTAATCCTAAAATTTTATTAAGGGTAAAATAGGAATGAAAAAATAAAAAGAAAGGTAAAAAAGGAATGGGGTGGTGGAGGGAGCAAAGTGTGGTGATGAAGGGAGCAACACCCAATACTTAATCATGATTATGAGAGTTTTTGGGCCATAGTTGACTATAATAAAAAATCAATTAAAAAAATATAAATAAAAATAGAAAGAAAAATAGTAATTAAGTTATTAATTACGTATTTATTATCCTGTGTTACAAACCAAACTAACTTTAGCATCATAAAAGTTTTATCAGATATCTCATATCGATGTTAACCCATAAGAATTGAATTTGGAAAAAAAATATTAGACAATAAACTATTGATTAAGTAATCTATCTACCTAACATATCAGAACAATTTCTATCTTAACTTGTTATTCGATTATTATATGAATATAAAATTCTCAATTTACACGAAAGAATCACGAATAACTGATTTTGGAGTTAACGGGACGCTGAATTCACGCAAAGACCAGCCAAATGACAGAATCGGAGATCAACGGAAAGCCAAAAAACAAAGTCAAAAAAACTAATTTTCTTAATATTGAAATTGTGTGTACAACTAATTGTGATGGCACATTACTCGGCGAGACAAGGATTTCTACAAGGTTTTGGGACACGGAATTTTCAACCCTGGCATCGGGCCAGCTTAATTTGACAAAGACAGCAATAAATCCTTGTCATCTTTTTTTTTTTAAGTTTATATTATATAATGTGATTTGCTAAATTTCTTTGAAAAGAATAACTATTTCTGACTCTTAACGTTAAAATTAGTACTTTTTTAGCTAATGTTAAGTACTATTATTTATTTTGATATACTTTAAGAAACAATTATTAAGGAACAAATTTTTGGTCTGGTTTTCTTTATTTTCAACCACAATTTATATATGTTAGTTTTTAATGAGTTTAAAGTTATTTATTGAAACAAAATGAATTGGTTTTGACATGAAATCAAACTTAAAAAGCGAATTTATGTTCTCGGTCAGACATAAATTTATTATGTATGGTGTACTTGCTCAAAATGAACACAAAGAGTTTGAGATATACAATTCAAATTAAACTGCAACTTTAGAGATTTTTAAACAACTATAAAGTATAAAATAAACTATAAAGTATAAAATAAATTAATTTTAAGTTATTGAATAGTTAAGTGAACTTTAACTTTAGTGGTTTAGTTTTCTAAAACTAAACTATAAAATAGTACTGTTTGAATTTTATTATAAATAGTTCAGTTTTTCTTTTCAATATAATGCAGTTAATTAATAGTTTAGTGCAATTTAATTCATTTTTGTTCATCCTTACCTTTCAGTGAATCTATATACCTCATTCATTATATTGCTCTTTGTGTAGACCTATATAGTATAGGTGCAACTTGGTTGTGTATGCAATGCAACATTCTACTTTTATCATCATTGCATGCAATGCAAATTGATTAAACTAAAATATATTTTCTTTCTTGCATTTGATATATTTTCTTTCTCTATGATTGTGTGCAGTACCAATGGATATCTTCGTCTATGAAAGACGATAGAAGAGACGAGGTTCAAATATTGTCCTTTCCTATTTCGATGGGGTAGAAAGGGATATATGTCTCACTCGCAGGTTTTCAACTTGTGCTGAGTATTGTTTCCGTTATGAGCAGTAGCGAAGTTTTTACTCATAAGTCCTTGCGGTGCATAAGAGATAGGTCAGAAGTTACGGTGGAGGACTACTCGAACTATCCTATTTTGGTGAACTGGTTCTATACGGTAGAATACAGAAAGACTATGCTTGTTTTAACATTGTTTGGTTGTGGTTTGTTGTTGAGGTGACCTACCTTTAGGATGACATAAGGTCTTAGAGATTGTTTGAAGTTAGCGTAGTTTATTTGTAAATAGAGGATTAGATTGAAGATTGATTGACTTGCGTAACATGTTTTCGAATGAGCTTTGGTTAGTGTGAGAGAATCATAGTTTTAACATGATGATTGAGTTTAATATGTTGTATTGATGTTTATTCTGTTAGCTTATGTGATGGAAGATGCTTGAGGAAAGTTTGTCAGGCAGTATTCCATCATGTTTGCTTGTTTTTGTTTGTATGATGATCGTATAACTCGTATTGTTATACGGGAGAAGATAATCTTACAAATATTTTAGCTGATGAATAAAGCGATGAGATTTAGAGAATGGTTTAGGAGTTTTCTAGTTATTTTAAATGATTTTTATTTAATCATTATATGACCGCTTTAGTTTATTACTTGGAAGTTTTAAACTTTTGTATATATTTTTATTCAATTGATGTTTAATAAATTAAAAATTTTATCACGTCAAAATGTTATTCAATTTTAAATTTTTGAAAGAATGTTTTATATTTTATTTGTAACATCTAAATTGGAGTGTTACGGTGTTTAATTCTTTGGTTTAGAAGGACTTTAAATGATTCTTTGTTATAAGACAATTGAACAATAGGTTGAAACAAAAAGTGGAAGGATGGACACCATAAGAACAAATTTTTCTGTTTTAAAAGTAAAGCTCTAGCAATGGAGCAAAATATTGATGTAGTGATATGCTTTCTACATTTTTATACCTAAAGTGGTATACTTTCTAATTCTTTTGTTCTGACAAAAAAAAATATAGAAAAAACACACACACCCCACACTGAAATAGTTATTGCCTATAAAAGAGGCAATGTGGTAATAATAAGTAGCTAATCACTTTTAGTAAAAAGTATTTATTTAAAATTTTTCTTCTTCTTCTTTTCATTCATGTTAAGCTTTAACTATCACAACAACTAATAGAAAAGATAAACCAACCATAAGTTGATTATTTTATTTAATTACTTTTTTTATTCATTCCAACCTGCCACAAATTTAAACTTCTTTTACATTTTTTAGGACACTTTCATGCTTCAAATACTTGAGACTTCACTTTGAAACATGTTATTTACAAATCACAATCTACATCTACACCCGTAATAAGATGTTACTAATGTCTAAACGTGACATTTTAGCAATTCTGTAATTAGATGTTGCCTCACAAAAACCTGTTTCTGATTATATTTTTTTTGTTTCCGGGCTAACACTGCCAAGACTGAGGAGAGCCTATTGAATCTTCAAACGTTCACCAAACCAATTTAGGAAACTACAATGTATTGGTGTGAATAATAAAAAATTAACAAAATATTGCGTATATGTTTGAAATATTGTTAGGAACTGTATTTATTTCAAAAATTACAATCAAGCAGACAATATAATAGGAAAATATTGTATCAGATTTTATACCAAATTAAGAGATCGCCTCTATTTAGAGACTAACAAAAGAAATACCAAATCTTCTGCAAATACAAATAAGTAACACGAGCATTCCAATAATGTAAAGATATCAGCACATAAAATTTACTAAAGAATAATCCCAAATCATTGAAGGGCCCTATCTAAATTGGGTAAAAAAAGTCCAATTCATAGATTAATTATATGAGAAAAATCAGGCATGACACTCCTTAATTTTGGCATAATCATGATAAAAAGAAATAACTAAATATAAATAAGAACCCTACAACCCATGAAGGGGGACAATACAACACTAATCACAACCCAGTACATTTATATGCATGGTAAAATTGAAGTATATTCAAATTAACAATACCACATTTACTATGTTCAGTAGTCACCCTTAAGGGAAAAAGCCAATGCTCTTAGCCTTTAAACTGCCATTCACGACGGCACATTGGGCAATGCGCTTGTGATGTTTGAGAATTAACCCATTTCAGGATACAGTGCAAATGAAACGCATGATTGCATTCACCCCAAACTGCAAGAAGAAAAAAGAACAAGTATTATTCACTTCCGTTGTAAAGAATTACATAACACTACAATTTGATAAGCAAATCTTGATACCGAGAAAAAGATATCATCCATACATTAATACAAACAGTTTTTCAAGGGGAGTCAACGGGAATTTATAGCTCAAAATATAATATTTTTATCTTACTGATGTCTTAAAAGGTTCTCAATCATGTGAAACTGCTTCGGCATAAACCAAAAACTAACAGTAACACACACTTTAGTTGAGTAAATTTGTGAGAATCTCAATAAATAACAAACGAAATTGTCATGAATTTCACCTAATATAAGTGTGTTGGAAAGAATGTAACATACAATGTTAGAGTATATATTTTGCATAAATGTCAAGTCACCCACATGAGCAACAACTATCTTTGCAGGAGTTCAACACATTCAAACAAGAGAAGTTTGCATTTTAAATACATTTGCATCATAATTAGGACTACAAACGATGTAATTTTAGAGATAATTAGAAAATTAACAAAATTTGGACAGAGTGATACAGTGTACTATGTGTGAAGAGAAAAAGAAACCAAATAAAAGGACTCTTTTTCTATAATCCTACAAACTTATAAGCAAAGTTTGGAAGCTTCATTGAGTCATTTACACAATGTTGATGATTAGTTAATCAAGGCCCAGGCAATGATATTACAACTAAAACATTTTTCTGAGACTTCCTTCAGTCCTCACAATAGGACCACTGTCTACACAAATAATAACAGAACACATACGTTAGGATTTAAGCACAAGAGGATATCCCACCCAAAAGAATAGTCCATCATGTAAGAGAGCTCACAGCTTATCCTACTCAATGTGACACTTTTAACATTGTTAACCCCCTTAATGCCTGATGTCCATAACCTTCTCACACTATTGACACTGAGCAGACGGTAACTCTTTTCTCTTTTAAGACAACTTTAATCATTTATTAGTATTGCTTTGCAGCTTAATCTAGCTTATAATTAGCCTTTTTCCTGTAAGATAACTCTCAATAAAAGACAATTGTTGGGACTTAAATACAAGAGGGTATTCCAACCTAAGAATTTGTCCATTAAGTAGGAGAGTCTTAAGGCTTATATTCTACTGAGTGTGAGACTCTTAAATCAAATAAAATCATAAACAGTTACACAATGTGTAGTTGAGTTTAACACTATATCACTAACACAGTTACCCAAAGCACAATGATTAATCGAGAAATTTAACTAGGACAAGTTGGTCCAAATATAATAACAACACAGTCTACCACATAAAAAAATTATATATAGCTTACTCAGAGGACAGTCATCCCCTGGAAGTTTACAGTCTGGACAACATCCATCAAAGGCCATTCTACAGATCCCACACGTTTCATCCTGAGCATCCCAAGTCCACGAAGCAATACCGTGCCATCTACATTTACCAAGAAAGAACAAAAAATTTAGGAAGAGCTTAACATTTATTTACAAATGACTAGAAAAAATGATAAAGGAGANATAAAATCACAAACAGTTACACAATGTGTAATTGAGTTTAAGACTATATCACTAACACAGTTACCCAAAGCACAATGATTAATCGAGAAATTTAACTAGGACAAGTTGGTCCAAATATAATAACAACACAGTCTACCACATAAAAAAATTATATATAGCTTACTCAGAGGACAGTCATCCCCTGGAAGTTTACAGTCTGGACAACATCCATCAAAGGCCATTCTACAGATCCCACACGTTTCATCCTGAGCATCCCAAGTCCACGAAGCAATACCGTGCCATCTACATTTACCAAGAAAGAACAAAAAATTTAGGAAGAGCTTAACATTTATTTACAAATGACTAGAAAAAATGATAAAGGAGATTGACAATTCAGAACAAAAATAGGGTTAAATTAAATTCTTCATGTTTAATAGAAAATTGAAGTGAAAAGGCAATGGAACTCAATTTCACATTGGCACCAACTTCTGTCCTCCTAAAAATTATTTCCACTCCCTCCTTACTTTTCATCTTCTCTATCCTTAACTATTCAAACATGGTAATCCACACATATGAGAAAGCATCATCCATGAATTATTTGACAGATAAACTAAGCAAAACAAATTCATAACAGCATGTAAGTTATGTTGAAGATAAAAGAAATAACTTACTCTGTTTAGAAAATCAGGAGGTACCCAATCAGAGACCTTAGTCAAGAAAAACATCATTTTTATTATTTAATTTGCTTTCTGCAATGAAAATTTGAAAAGCATACTGTACCAAAACAAAGATGCAATAATCAATCAACTAATAAAGGGGAAAAATGATGCTAAACGGAATGTGAAAAGGATACGCAAGATCTTCACTTTCATCTCCGATCCCGTGCCTAACAACAACAATGGCTAATGGAGGAGCCGCGCCTGCGAGAAAGAGAAGAGATGGAATGCGAGCCAGCCCTCTCAGTTTTTCATCAATAAATCTTTCATTCTTAACTTAACATTTAGAATATATATAATTTTATAAATAAATAAACATTAACAATATAGATAACATTTTCAAAATAACATAATTTTTTTTAAGTAAAATATTCTAAATAAAAATATGTATTAAGAAGTTTTGTTATATATTATTTAATTAAATAATAATTCTTATTAATAATAAAATTTAATTAAAAATAGTAAATATATTTATTTTGAAAGATAATATTTAAATAAAAATAAATTTTGCAATGTATGATACTTTAATATTTCATTAAAAAAATCATATTTAATATTGAATTTTCATCAACATATGATACAAGTTGTAAGATCTGAAAATTAGATTTTTTTTTTTTTTCTTCAGTAGCACACGTTGGATTTTCAATTACCCAAGTAGCATAGATAATATTTATGAGTCCAGATTTTTTGGTTTTGTCCTTCAGCATTAAAAATAATTTAAAAATATTTTTAATATATTTTAAAATTTTAAAATCAGTGGTCATTAGTATGTTACAAAGACACAACAGAGGGATAATACAGAAAAAACTCAGTAAAGAATTCAAATTCAATATTTACCTACATAGTAGAGTTTTGGCTGTAGGTTAGAATGGGGTTCCTCGACACGAATTTTGAACATGGTTGGTTGAAATTTTCACCTTAATACCAGTCCAAATTCGATTTTTGGGAATCTGAATTCTGAATTGGTTTTACAATTTTTTTTTCGAATTTCATCAAAATAAAAGGTATGAATTATTTTTTAAAATATATATGTTTAGTAGATTGAAGTATATTTATATTTAGGGTTAAATATGTTTTTCATCCTTAAGTATTATTGATTTTTGGGTTTTAGTCCCTACTCAAAACATTCATGTCATTTAGTCCTCGTAGTATTAAAACATGTAAAAATAGTCCTTAAAAATAGACGACGTCAACTTTTGGCTGATTTGGCAAACGGGAATGCCATGTCCTCTGCCAGCTTTACTATTCTCTATCTGCCAAATCAAGTCACCAACACATGACGTCGTTCGAACCCGATTGGTGGTGCTGTCGGAGATACGGGTCGCCATTGCATGGACGTTGTCACCTCAGCCACCACTCGAACAGCCACCACGTCGTTGTCCACGGTGTTGTTGATACTTGCGCCGAAAAAGCCACCGCCCTTCACGGCAGACCACCACCACTTTGCCCCTTCTCCTTCGCGCAAGAGGAAGACGCATTCACCCTCTGCAGCGCATCCAAGCCATTCATGCCGCACCCAGTCGCCGCCTCTCGGACCATGAGTCAAGGTCGCACCGGTGATGCGACTTGCTGCCGGAGCCGTCGCCACCTGGTCCAAGGCGTCGCCGGCGAAACCCATCATCAACAGGACTCGTCTGCGCATTCTCTGTGACGAGTCTCCACCACCACGAATGAAACCAGCCACCGTCAACAAAGCTGGCTGTCACTGTTCTCGCCGGAATTGCTCCCTCACCGGCGCCACGAGCGTTGCTCTCCTCCCTCTCAATGCGAGGGTTTTTTTCTCGAACGCCAAACGTCCCCAACAACACTCACTGCTAGTGTCGAAGATGAAAGCGCATTCTTTGTTTTTTTTTTTAATCATGCCCTTTATTGGTTAATTCTTCTATCTCATTGTTCACTGGGATTGGAAACGTTGGAGTGTGTTTATGATTTTCGTTCTATATCTATTGCTTAGAGGGTTAACCCCTTTGTTGGTGGCTTGAGGTGAACAGAGGCAAAGATTGGGTTAGGCATTTCTCTCGCAGAAAGATGGCCATAGGGGTTTTCACGATATAAGCAACGTGGCACATAGAGAATAATGAAGCTGGCAGAAGCCGTAGCATTGCCGTTTGCCAGACAACTAAAAATTGACGCCGTCCATTTTTAAGGACTGTTTTTACATGTTTTAATACTACGAGTACTAAATGTCATCAATGTTTTGAGTAGAGACTAAAACCAAAAATCAATGATACTTAAAGGACGAAAAACATATTTAACCCTAATTTATGGTTGGATGTTGTAAAATAAAAGATATTAAATTTAATTTTTTTAATTATTAAACAATAAGAGATGGATAAATAAATTATCTAAGAGATAGAAAATATATAAGTGTAAGGTCATTTTGTAATAACTTTTAATTGTTGTAACTTTTTAAGAAAATAATATTGAAAAATGTATAAGTAAATTGTTAAATAATTTAATTTCATATAGTAGGAATTGGCGATTTGTAGTTTTATTTAAAATCAGCAAAATTAAATTCAATGTACATGTTATTAAAATTATTGTTTAAAAATAAAGTTATTGATTCTGAATCAGCAAAATTAAAATTATTTAAAGTTTATTGACAGTGATGATGAACGTGATTATTGATTGTAATTAGGAGAATATGTGAGATTGAATTTGTATGTACCATTGATTCTTTGCCTTTTCCGATAAAGGTTGTTATTGATTTTGATTTTGGGTATTATTGTGATTTTGTTTGAGTACGAACAGTTTGTATGCGTTAGATAGAATATATGCATGATTTTAAATTTTAATGATTTTATTGATTGATAATAATATGTTTTTCGGTGTGCTTAATAGGTATGATTTGTATTGTGTTATACTACACTGTGGGTCATGTATATTTTTGTTTAACTCACCTGTTGTTTGTGTTGATACATGTAAATGAGATGATCATATAATGAGTGGTATCAAATATTGTTACAGAAAAATGGAGTGGTGTAAAACGAGGATTTACGCTAAAGACTTTTGTTGGGAATTTTAAATGTATTTAAAGAACTTTTTCATTTCCTTGAGTTGTTTTCCAATTAATTTTTTTAGTTGAACTACACAACTTTCTTGTTAGAAGAAGAAGCTTGGTACTGGTGGGATGGTATGCAGTGGCTGATGGAATTTGACTGGGAGTATCTGATGAGGATGATTGTACCTCTGAAAATCAAGAAGTTTCCAGCTTTGGTCAGGAAGACAAAGAAAGTAGAGATACTGAAGATGAACCGAGGCCGAGTCGAAAAGACTCATAAGAACAAGTTTGTTAGAGGAAAGCCAGGGAAGAAGCCCTATCAGTGATCCCAACCGTTTGTGCCAGTAGCCGTGAAGTGCTTTGAATGCGGTTGTGCGCACTACAAGAGGAACTGCCTTAAGCTCTTTGGAGTGAAGGTTGAAGAGAAGAGGTGCTTTGTGTGTAATAAGCCAGGACATTTTGTTCATGTTTGTCCTAAGAAGAAGATGGTGAATGCACAACAACAACCAAGTTCCTCGAGGGTGAAGCCCAAGGCAGTTGGGAGAGTTTTTGCTTTGACTGGTGAAGAGGCCGTTAAGCCAGAAAATCTCATCCTAGACACATGTCTTTTTGTTTGGAAGATGTGTGCATGTCTTGTATGATTCTGGAGCTCCTTTGTTTCGTCTGCTTTGTTGTCTACTAGTGAGTGATCTAAGGTGTGAACTGATGGTTTCTACACTAGCATCGGTTAGATCTCGACCAATTTAGTTTGTGTTGGATGTTGATTGTAGTCGTCGGATGTAAGTTCAAAGTGAACTGATCTCCTTGTCTCTTCAAGGCCTGGATATATAGGAATGGATTGTTGACTACCAATCATGTTCTTCTTGACTGTAGACGACAACAATTGGTGTTTCCAGACTCAAATGGTTTAGAGTTTATCTCAACCAAGGAAGTCCTAAAGGACGTTAGTGATGGAACCATGTTTTTTATGGTGATGGCTTAGGAGAAGAAGAAGAGTTCTGAGGAGCAGACAATGGGTATCTCGGTGGTAGGAGATTTTGCGAATGTATTATTGTCAGGATTGTCGCTAAATAGAGAAGTGGAGTTCTTATAGATTTGGGCCAAAAGTTGGACTAGTGTTTGTGGCCTCGTACAGAATGGTTCTGGCAGAGTTAGCAAAGCTAAAGAGATAGATTGAGGAACTGCTAGAAAAGAATTTATCAGACATATTGGGAGCTTCAATTTTGTTTTTAAAAAATAATGATAGTAGTTCAAGGTTGTGCATAAACTATCCACAACTGAACAAGTTAATGATTAAAAACAAACAAATGTGTGGGTGGTTAAAAATTTTATATAAGAGTGAGAAAGTTCTAGAGAAAGAAAGTTTAGAGAGATTATGTGATTGAAGATAATAAAACTCGTTTATAAAAATTCTATTTATACTTTAAATTTTTAATATTAAAATAATTAAATATCATTATTTAAAACATAATATCAATTCTAACACATGACTTGTGAGGATCTTACATTTTACCTTTTACCAGAGGAACTATCTTTTTAAGTAACAAAAATATTGAAAAAAAATTAATAATTATGATTATATTGTATATTATTATAACAAATTATTTTTTCATAAAATATTGTTAATTAAAAGTTTAGGGTTTAGGTCTTCATTTGGGTAAAATTACCATGATATGTATTCAATGAGACTTGCCACCGTGATTTTTGGTGGTGTGTACTGAAGAGACTTCCCAACACGCAACCACCCTCATGGAATCAGCGACATGGAGTAACCCTCTCTCATTTTCCCTTTTCAATTCCCATTCACGCCATCTCACACAATACAAATTTATGGCCTTTTCAACTCTCCAAACCTTCCCAGTACCTTCCTTTTCTTTTACTTTTTCTTCTTCTTCTTCTTCTTCCCACCTCAAACCCTCTTCTTCCTTTCCAAAACCCACCACTCTACTTCTCAACTCTCGTCCCCTTCGCTCTTTCCCTCGAGCCATGCACGTCTCGTCCATCCAAGATGCCATTGGAGGGGCAATTTCCCTCGTCCAATCGTCTCCCGCCACATGGCACTCTGCGCTTTTCAGCAATGCCATGATATTTCTTTTGGGTTCTCCGATTTTGGTCACTGGGCTGTCTCTCTCCGGCATCGTTGCCGCTTTTCTGCTCGGAACGCTTACTTGGCGCGCTTTTGGGCCCTCTGGGTTCTTTCTTGTTGCTGTCTACTTTGTTATTGTGAGTTCACTTTTCTTACTTGCTAAGCTTGTTTTGAAGGTGGTGCTTTTCTCAGTTTAAAGTTGGGGTTTGGGGAGTGGCGTGGAGTTTTATTCTGGGGTGGGGAATGTGGGCTCTTTGAGAGTGATGAATGTTGAGATCAAATTTTGGTATTAGTTGAACAACTGTGATGTGAAATTGGGTGGTGGTTTTTCCTTATTTTGAGAATGACAACTGTGGAGATCAAATAGTGTGGGAGATCAAGTTGTTCCTTAACTTGATTTGAAAGATATTAGTTTTGAGGGAAAAAATGGTTTTGCGTGGAATTATATTCAATTCTGAAGGTGGGTGGGGAGGTTTTTCTAGATTTAGTGTATGGCGAAAATGATGAGCTTTTTTTAGAGAAGAGGGATTGCTTATTGATGGAGTTCTGTGCAATTTCGAGAATGGACGTGAGAATTTTCCTTTCTTTTTCTTCTGGGTTTGAGGCTGTGTTCTTTGGATTTGATTTGTTTGGGGTTTGTTAGGGTACAGCTGCTACAAAGGTCAAAATGGCGCAGAAAGTGGCTCAGGGGGTTGCTGAGAAAAGAAGAGGAAGAAGGGGTCCCGGTAGTGTTATTGGATCTAGTGCTGCTGGTTGCATTTGCGCCTTCCTTACTATTTTTGGTGTTGGGGGAGAGACATTTTCTCGGCTTTGGAGGCTCGGGTTTGTTGCCAGTTTCTGTACCAAGTTGAGCGACACTGTCTCAAGTGAGATTGGGAAGGCATATGGAAAAACAACGTGAGTAGTGAACTCTATGTGTATGTTGTTTGTGTTATTTTGTTATCAATCTCTACTTATGAAGATTGTTATGCATTTTTATATTTTAGCTTTTATAGAACCCCAAGGTTTGAAATTGCAAACACTGTTTTGCTGCTATCTTGATATTGTGGAAAATTTTGGATGAATGCAGTTGGTGTGGCCACGATTGTGGATGCAATGTGATTACAAGAGACCCCAAAAACCATAACATTGCATTTGAACTTAAAGTTGCAATTGCAAACTGTTTTTTAAAACCTTGGAACCTTGCCCCCTTCCCCTAATATTAGTTTTGTGCCATGAACTGAGGAAACCCCTCAAAGAATCATGATTCCCTATTGATGCAGAGATCTTCTAAACTGTTCTGTAATTTCTGGTGATAAATTTTCCAACTGGAAGCTACCCTGGCGTAACCCATATGTTGTGGTGCATGGATTATGCTGACAATATCTATTGCATTGTGAATTCAATCTATAACATAATCAGATGTAATATATTTTTGTACATTTTTTTATTGCCACTACTAGTACTTTTGTTCTGAATTTATTAACCTGGTTTCTCATTAATTGTGAAATGTGAATTATGATTATCAATTCTAAACATTTTCTGGCATAATATCCAGGTACCTAGTTACGACATT